GACTTCGTATTCTTTTATCAATTTGGTAAGTATCTTTATTGCTGATTTCATTTTCTGAATTACTCAAAATTCCATCAGATTGTATAATTGTAGCTTGATTACGAACTTTAAAAAAAGTAATTTTTTTAGTATTAACAGCTGCCTTGGTAAATGAACCGGTTGGTCCATATTTTTCATAATAACTTGATCTTGAAGTCTTTCCTGTCATATATCAACCACGTTTTATTTTTTCTAATTCACTTTCTTCCTTCCACTCTAATTTAAGTTCTTTGTTTTTTAAGTTTTGTATTTCTTCAGTAACATCATCTCCATCGTCATTATCCCAACCACTATCTTCATCATCACCCCATTCTTCTTCATCAAATTTTTCCTTATCAAAGAATTTCAAATTTATACTAATATCACTTTTATCCGCAGTCTTACCATTACCAGAAGTATCAAACAAATAACCATCACCATAAGGACCAGACGAACTACCATTACCAGAAGCACCAAATGAACAACCATCACCATAAGGATTAGACGAACCACCATCACCAGAAGCACCAAATGAATAACCATTACCATAAGGATCAGATGAACCACTATAACTAGAAGCACCAAACGAATTACCATCACCAGAAGCACTAAATGAACCACCATCACCATAAGGACCAGATGAACCACCATAACCAGAAGCACCAAACAAACCACTATCACCAGAAGCATCAAATGAACTACCATCACTATAAAGACCAGATAAACCACTATCACCAGAGGCACTAAACGAACTACTGTCATTAAAAGGACTAAACGAACCACTATTATTATGAGACGCAGTAACCGCAGTAACTGTGCCATAACGACCAACATTTTTTTTACAATTGTTGTTAATTAAAATTGAGAATTCAGGTTGATTTTGATTATCTGTACTTGGATATCGTGCTTTTTATTATCAAATTTACCATCTACAGTGCGTTTTTGGTTTTTTGATTTTCTTTTTTGCTTAGAAAGAGGTAGCATTTTTAATACAATAAAAAATAAATTGAAACGCGTTCAAGATAATGGTTTAATGTAAAGCGCGTAATTAGTTTTATTAATTTAACAATTTAAGACGTGATTACTATCACATTTTTAGGTCCAGTGTGAAACACGAATAAAATTTGCGATCATGTATTTTGACCGTCTTTATTACATAATATTGGCAAAAATTCTATGGATTTAGGAAGAGAATTTCTAAAGTCGTCTATTTTATAGAAGGTATTTATGAATTTCTTTATCACCAATATTTACCATAGTTTATTGATTAAATATAT